TGAGGAACCTTGTCCTCCGCGTCAAGAACCTTGTCCTCAGCGTGGGGAACCTTGTTCTCAGCGTGACGAACCTTGTCCTCAGCGTGAGGAACCTTGTCCTCAGCGTGAGGAACGTTGTCCTCAGCGTGAGGAACCTTGTCCTCAGCGTGAGGAAACTTCTCTTCAGCGTGAGGAGCCTAGTCCTCAGCATGAGGAACCTTGTCCTCAGCGTGAGGAACCTTGTCCTCAGCGTGAAGAACCTTGTCCTCAACATGAGGAACCTTGTCCTCGGCGTGAAGAACCTTGTCTTCAGCGTGAAAAACCTTGCCCTCAGCGTGAGGAACCTTGTTCTCAGCGTGAGGAACCTTCTCCTCAGCGTGAGGAACCTTGTCCTCGGCGTGAGGAACCTTGTCCTCAGCGTGAGGAACATTGTCCTCAGCGTGAGGAACCTTGTCCTCAGCGTGAAGAAACTTGTCCTCAGCGTGAGGAACCTTGTCCTCAGCGTGAGGAACCTTGGCCACAGCGTGAAGAACCTTTTCCTCAAAGTGAGGAACCTTGTCCTCGGCGTGAAGAACCTTGTCTTCAGCGTGAAGAACCTTGCCCTCAGCGTGAGGAACCTTGTTCTCAGCGTGAGGAACCTCGTCCTCAGCGTGAGGAACCTTGTCCTCAGCGTGAGGAACCTTGGCCACAGCGTGAAGAACCTTTATCCTCAACGTGAGGAACCTTGTCCTCGGCGTGAAGAACCTTGTCTTCAGCGTGAAGAACCTTGCCCTCAGCGTGAGGAACCTTGTTCTCAGCGTGAGGAACCTTCTCCTCAGCGTGAGGAACGTTGTCCTCAGCGTGAGGAACCTTGTCCTCAGCGTGAGGAACCTTTTCCTCAGCGTGAAGAACCTTGTCCTCAACGTGAGGAACCTTGTCCTCGGCGTGAAGAACCTTGTCTTCAGCGTGAAGAACCTTGCCCTCAGCGTGAGGAACCTTGTTCTCAGCGTGAGGAACCTTCTCCTCAGCGTGAGGAACCTTGTCCTCAACGTTAGGAACCTTGTTCTCAGCTTGAGGAACCTTGTCCTCAGCGTGAGGAACCTTGTCCTCAGCGTGAGGAACCTTGTTCTCAGCGTGAGGAACCTTGTCCTCAACGTGAAGATCCCTTATCCTCAGCGTGAAGAAGCTGGCTCTCAGCGTGAGGAACCTTGTCCTCAGCGTGAGGAGACGTTTTATTATTATTATTATTATTATGAAAGGTTTATTAAGAAACACATTTTGGCACCCGAAGGTGAATTGCAATATGCTTACAGAAACATAATAAAGGCTGAATATCAAATGATATAAATATAGATATATCGTATATATGTACATACTACAAATTATTTACTATTAAAATTAGCAGTCATTGCCGGTATAAAAATAGTTTTAAAACGTTCCGTTCTGCATTTAGTTAATGTGAAGTTAGAATTGTTCCTTAAGTCCAGTTCATGCGATTCTTCACGGAGTGGGGGGTAAGAGGTGGTTGAGGTGAGCATTGGGTTTTAAGATCTTTTTGAATGTTTTAGCACATAGCTCTTGCCGTCTGTCGACAAGGAGCTTGCATTTAGCGATGTTGAGAGCATCTTCGTAATCTGTTGTCGGATAAATAATACGGAAAGCTCTTTTTTGAACTTTTTCAATTTTATCCCCCAAACACTTTGGTAACATGGTGTGCCAGACAGGACAGGCCTATTCTAAGATAGAGCGCACCATAGAAAAGTAGACTAGTAAGAGGTCATTGGGGGGAAGACCACAGCGCTGTAGGACACGAATAATGTATAAGCGTTTTGAGGCTTTTTTAACTAACGCTTCAGTGTTGTCTTGCCATTTCAATTTATTGTTCATGGTTAAGCCCAAAATTTTGGAAGAAGGATCTAAGTCTAGAGGTAAACCATCAATGAGGAGCCGGGGGATGTCATTCTCGCTACGGACGAAAGTCACTATCATTTGTTTGCATTTCTTTCCGATCAATTTCATGTTGTTATTAACAGTCCATCTTTCAATTGTGTTAAGATCAGATTGTAGGACTGAAACTTCATTTTTCTTTAAGGACTCCGATATTGTTACGTCATCCACGTATTTCCAATGGTCAGTGCTAGAGGATGTCAGTTCAAGATCGTTGATCATAATTATGAACAAGATAGGGCCCAATTTAGTTCCTTGAGGGACACCTGCGTTATTGATCTTTACCGATTGACGGCGATTTGAGAGAAAGCTGCATATCCATGGAATAAGCGACAATCTGACGCCAAGGGCCAGCAACTTTGGGACTAGGATATTATGGTCGATGCGGTCGAACGCTTTACTAAAATCGAGGAAAACGATCCGCAGATAGCTAGATTTATCATCCAATGTTCTTAGCCAATTGTTGATCATATCGATCAAGCAAAACGATGTAGAGGTTCCTTTAAGGCAACCAAATTGTTGCGGGTTGATTTTATGTTTCACGTCATCCACCATCCAATTGACCACAAAGTCCTCAAGAATTTTGGACAAAGAGGCTGTAAGGGAGATTGGGCGCAACTCCTCCTCACAGGATACGGATGGCGCTTTAGGAATTGGTGTAATTAACGCATCTTTCCATATGTTAGGGAATTCACCGGGGAACAGAGATGTATTAGAGATGTGACATACAGGTTCGGCCAATTCGTACGTGAAATCCTTAATAATCCGGTTTGGAATATTGTCAGGACCACTGGATTTGAAAACTTTTGTATTGAGCATCTTAGTGCAAACTTCGTCAGGGAAAATTTTTGGTACAGGCCTACAATCTTATGCAAAATAAACGTGACACTCCATGCTCCCGCACCCTTCTCAATGTTGGTTAGTGATTGCTAGCACCGTTTCAGGCCTTCCTTGTCAATTTCGACTTCAAATCGCAACATTGCATGGGGGAAAGGGGGATAAGCCTTACAAAATCATGATGGCACGTTTTATTTTGCAAGAGATTGTATTTCAACAATAAATCTGCACATACTATGTCAAGTACTGTAGGTGTGGAAAGTTATGACGCTGGACACGTTTTATCTAGAACGCTTGTGAATGACATCATTTGCGTACATCAACACGTTTCGAAGGTTATGTAATGAACCAAAAAAAGAAATAAAATAATATATAAGCTTGAACATTATTACTATAGGACTTGAACAATCCTACTTTAAAAGATAAATATTAAAGGAATAATTCAGTATGGCTATTGGCCACAAGACAAAGGCTCTGGTGTACTATTTATCGAAGTTTCAAGGGCTTTCCATTCGGCAAGTAGCAAGAGAATGTAATGTTTCTCGGGCAACTGTGTGGAGGATTAGCAAAGTGGATATGAGCAGTAACGGATGTAAGAAAACACGCAGAGAGACCAGAGGTAGACCAAGAAAACTAAATAAACGCCAGGAACGGAAGTCTACGACGATCGATCCAGATCCTAAGAGAGCAAGAGGGTAATTTCACTATCAAGAGACTGATGGAGAACGCGTGCATTTGTAGAAAAGACGTTTCAGAGAGTACAATTTCACGTTTCCTAAATAAAGAGGGCTATTATTATCTACCAGCTCGGAAGAAAGGTCTGTTAACGAAGGCTGATATGAAAAAGAGGAGAACTTTTGCACGGAGAATGCAAAATGAATATTCTCACGACGTGTGGACTCAGGATATTGCGTTTTACCTCGACGGAACGGGATTTGCGTATAAGAGAAATCCCTTGGATCAAGCCTTGGCACCCAAAGGCAGAGTATGGCGCAAGAGAAGCGAAGGACTAACGCCAGGATGTACTGCGAAGGGACAAAAGACAGGAACTGGTGGTCGAGTGGTAAAGCTGATGGTAGCTATAAGTTATGACAAGGGCGTGGTCATATGCAAAGCTTATGATAAGTTAGATGGCCGTAATTTTGAAATTTTATTGACGAGAACTTTGAAAGCATGTTTGGCACTGCAGATAAAAGCCTAAAGCGATTATGGTTACAAGACGGGGATCCAAGTCAAAATTTAGCAATGGCTCGCGCAGCTATGGACCGTGCAAACTGTGAACTTCTAAAAATACCGCCGAGATGTCCTGACTTAAACCCTATTGAGAATATTTTTAAACTAGTTTCAGACGCATTGCGTAAGCAAGCGATCAGGTCGCAAATCACGAAGGAAACATACGAGGAATTTAAAAATAGAGTTATCTCTACAATTCAATCTTTACCTCTAGAAGTAATAAATAACACAATTGCCTCAATGCCAAATCGCGTGAAAGAAATCATTAAGAGGAAAGGACAGCGTTTAAGATATTAGAACTATCAAACTGCCAAGTACCTTCACGTTGTATATAATTATATCGACAATGTATATCTTGACAATAAAACGCGTACAATGTAATATGAACTGATTGTTAATTAAAAAATAATATTCGTCTATATTGATATGGCTGCGCGTATTTGATGGACAAATCAAAGCAGTATGAACACGCCGATTAACTACCAAAATTATATATATATATATATATATATATATATATATATATATATATATATATATATATATATATATATAATTAATAACTAATAACTATTTGTGAAATATTAACAACATGCAATGCATTATGTATACCATCTCTGTGACTGTGTCAGGTATAAAGCATAGTTGTTCAGACAGCCCATGAACCCACCCGGAAATGCACGATTCTGAATAATTAACGCATCACCATAACGGGTCACTGTCTAAAACAAGTGTCAAAACAACTCAAGGGAGTACGCTGGCCACAGATTAAATACATAACATCTGAGGTTTGTACCGTGGTACCATGGTAAAGTTAACATTTCCATTTTTTTTAAGAAACTAACATAATACGAGCTGATTGTGTAACGGTGACCCGTTCAAACCAAAAGAAAATATTACATCATATGTATTCTCTCATATATCTTCGGATCACCGTGATGATCCGTCGTTTATTCTGCGTATACAACGCTTCAAATCGTTTCAAAATTCCAGCATTTGTTGAATAACTTGTAGTGTTTAAGTGAATTAGTCAACAAACTTT